TCTCCCCCCAACAACTACCTTGGGACTCGAACCGTGACTTACTCTGATACCAATTGTTGGATCGATACACTGACCACTACGCCAAAACCAGAGCTAGAGCTCTAGTTATAGTGGGTAACACCATTAGAGTTAAAAAATCATGACAACATTAGCAAATAACATAGTTGAAGGGAAATATATTTCTAGACCTCCATTGTTTTATGAGAGTGATTATACTTATTGGAAACTTAGAATGATAATTTATATGCTATCATTAGATGATGACGCGTGGGATATTGTTGAAGATAACTATATAGCACTAATAAAACCAAAGAAAGAATAGGATGAAGAAGACAAGAAACTCTCTTCTTTGAATACTAAAGCCATGGATATTTTATATTGTGCGCTAAATAAAAATGCATTTGACATTATTTCTACTTGTGAGACAACACAATATATTTGGCACACACTTGAAGTCACTCATTAAGATATAAATCAAATTAAAGAATTAAAAGATGATATATGTATACATGGTCATATATTACATGACATAAATCAATAAGAATCTATTATTGAGATGTTCACTAGATTTACTAATATTATAAATGGATTGAAATCTCTTTGTAAATCATTTTCTAATGAATTATCTTGTGAGAAAAGTACTTAGATTCTTTTTTTTTTTGAGTAAGTAAATAGTGTATTGATATCCAAGGAGAATTTACAAGAAAGAGTAACACTTGTCTGCTAAAAACTTGCAAGACAAGAACCAAAAACAGACAAAAATAGACAAAATCTGGGGAGAATGCTGAATGTTTTTAGTATTCTCCAAAGATTTAAACCAAATTTTTTTTTATGTAATTAGCATAGATTCTACATCATAAACAAAAAAGAGAATTGGGTAGCTGCCATGATTGAGCAATTCTTTGATTCTCTATATTTTTCTTAATCTTTAGAGACATTAATCTATTACTAACAGTATTGATGATTACTTGCTGGACTGTCATAGGATCTTTCTGCTGGTTCCTGAATATCCTTAGATTCTTACCAAAGACTTGGGAGACTAAAGTGGCGACTATTCAAATGGTAAAAGATTTCATGAAAACTATGCTATTGGAGGAACTTTTTGGGTCTTTCAAGACAATTTTGACCAGTTTGCAAAGACATGAATCAAAAGAGGATAAGAATGATACTTCCAACATATACTTCATGACCTTGGATGACAAAAGTGAGGTACATCTTTCATCCAATGAAAATAAAAATTTATCATGTGATGAAATGTGTGATGCCATGAGTGAACTATATGATGATATACTTGTTCTCACTAAGAAAAAAAGAAGTTAATTTGCTTGAAAATGATATCTTGAAAATGGGAAATGAAAAGTTAAGAATGGAAAATGATTTTTTGAAGAACAAATCTTATGACATATCACTTATTGAAAAATTGACAAATGAGAATGATGATTTGAGAAAGAAAAATTGTGATCTGAATCTAATTGTCTCAAAATTTATTCAAGGTAGTGAAAAACTAGAAAAACCAATTTATAGTAAAAGTGTGTTTTTTATAAAATCAATTTGGGACATGAACATAACCATGATAAAAAACATGAAGTATATAAAAACTTTTTTGTGAGAGAGTCCAAATTCGATACTTCAAATTCTTGCTATTATTGTCACAAGGTTAGACATTATTCATGTAATTGCCATATTAGAAGATAACATGAGAGTTGAGCAATAGGGATTTCAAAGGATGCAAAATTTTTTGGGTTCTGAAGATCAAAAATTAGTATTGTCAACATGACATATAATTTATATTTTAATGAAAATATGTGTTTGTTTAATTACTTTATATTTAGCTTGACTAAATTATACACACACACACACACATATATATTATATCAATAATTGAGACTAATATATGAAAATGTATTTGATGATTGCATAACATTTATGGTTACAAAAACTTAAAATGTATATGTTACTTGAATTAAAATTGTAAATGTTATTTAAGTTGGATGATTTGGTTTATCAAAATGCTTATTCATAGTTAATAAATCTTGCAAGCATGCCTGTCTTTGTTTTATTTTTGACTTGTATGATTGAAACTAGGGAAGGAGAAAGAATATGCATTGTGACACATATCTACTTGATTATATCATATATGTAGACATCGGCTATATTTATTTTTATCCTAGTACATGAAATGTATGGTGGATGAGCATTTGTATTCTATTGGACATAATTATGAAAACACATCACTACATTTGAGACATCATAGTTTTTAAATCTTGAAACTAAGTATAAGACCCATTTTTGCCTACATTGCTTTAGGAAATATTTAAAAATTTGATATAACGAAAGCATCTTGGAAGATTTAGGCACACAATGAATGGTGTAAATATGTTTTGTGCTCTAAATGGTCTTGGTCTTTTTTAAGGAAGAATACTTGATCAATGTGATAATCCAAACATCCTTAGGAAACTTCAGATAAGAAAATCCTACAAATTAAATTTTGAAAACTCAAGTGATAATACTTCAAGGCTTCCAGAAGAATAATGAAAACGTGATTGAAGGAAGAGGTTATAAGATCAAAATGCTTGGAAGAATTTGGAAAATGAACAATCCATACACTTCCAATAATTTGAAATTTGATTTCTTTAAGGAAGAATACTTGGAATCCTTCATGGCTATTAGGGTTGATTTGATAGGTTTTAATATATTTTCCTAGGAAAAATGGCAAATACTATATAACCTATATTCATGGTAGGATGTTTTTATTATGAGAGAGGACTAAGAGAGAAAATATGAACTTAAAAGATTAGAATGACAAAATTTTGAGATTGAGATCATGAACTTAGGTGAATACAATCTTCTATGATACATTCTCTCAAAAATTTAACGTGTGCTAGAAATAAAGTTGGAAGAATAATCCCAAAAAGCACACTATGTAGAAAATATAGTTCTAAGCTTAAAGATGATACTTATAAATGACAATACATGATCACTTAGAAAAAAAGTGCATATTGAAGAAGAAAATTAATGAATGGTATATTGAATACATGACAACTCATAGGCCTTGATTTCTTACTTCAAATCATTTGAATTTAAACCATTTTGAAAGTTAAAAAAGATTATTATTTGTGAATTCAAAAGATTTATGCACAAAATCAGATGGTATCCTTAATCATAAGGATCAATATTTTGTGAGAATAGTATGTTGATGGGCACACATAGAACATATATCCCATAATGCTATTTATAATGATAGATAGTTTAAGCACATCATGAATGTCTTTTTATATCAAACCACCACATAGGTGTATTTGAAATTTAAGGTAAACACTTGGACTATCATTTTTGGTAGGATATCAAGTACCTTCATATTAGATATTAATTTTTTTTCTCATATATGAAAATTAGGCTCTCTTGATATATGTCACTTACATATTTAATGAGTTGTGAACTTGAGACCTAAAAACATTATTTGGTTGAGTAAATATGAGAAGATGTAACTACATGAAGAGAATGAAAATCATGGATATAGATGAGTTAAAATAGTTGATTAAATCAGAAGAGCATAACATGAGAAGCTTCTTCAACAACTTTGTCAGTTTGATATGTAAATGAGGACAACTTGAAGAGGTTAAGGATCATTATTATATGTTTATTATTCAAGTTAATAATTTGATTATGTTAGTTGAATAAGAAGAGTTGAAAGATCAAGGCAAAGAAGTGAAAGAAATGAGTCAATAAGGAAAAATATTGAAATCGTCAATTTAACATAGTCTCAGTAATATTAGATAACTTTTAATAGATATGTCAAATTGAAGTGATTCAAGTGGGGTTGGCAAGAAGACGTGAAGATCTATAACTTTGTGTAATTTTTGAGATTTGAATGTCTTGAAGGTGAAATGTAGGTTAGAAGTTGAAGGTATGCATGAAGGCCAAACAATCAGCAGTTTCAGAAATGTCTCAGTATTTAAGAGATAAAGTTCTACTAAAATGTTCAAATGACTTGATTCCAACAGGGTTGGAAAGAAGACATCTATGTTTATAATTTTAGCAGAAATAGCCTTCTTCAAATTCTAATGTTTTAAGAGAAAAAAAATCACATTGAAAGAAGGTGACAATGCACAAAATTGGTATACCAGATGAAGAATATGACATGCCAGATGGATGAATATGCTTGCTAGTTGGTAAACCGGTATACCCCAATTCTTCTCAGTATCTCCCATTTTTAAAGGTTTGAAATGAATTGATATGCCGGTTGGACCAATCGGTATGCTAGATGTATCCGTTGAAGGTTCTAACAACTAGTTTTTTGCTCATTTCCTTGTCCAATTGCTTCCTCTATAAAAATGGATTATGAGGACTACCAAAGTAAGATTTTTTTGGAGAGTTCTAGGGAACTTCTTGAGTATTCAAAGTGTGACATACATATTGAGGAATATCAAAATTATGAGATTTGGGCTATAAAACCAATTGTATTTTTCTCTTTCTTTGAGTTTATTTGAGTGATTTGTTGTTTGTAAAGAGAAGTGAAAATTATTGTATTAAATAAGCTTTGAGCTATATCATTTGAGAGTGATATTGTAAAGATGTGTCTTCACCTATCAAAGAAGACAAGGTTGTAATGAGTTTGATCTTCACCCATGAAGGAGATCGAGATAGTGAAAGAAAAGCTCCATGGACTAGAGAAGAGAGGACGTAAGCCATCGTGGTTAAGGTCGAACCTCTATAAATCATGTTCGTTCTTTCTCTTTCTTACTATTACTCAATTATATCATCTATATCACATTACTTATCATATAAATTGCTATCAGACATATAATCATACAATCATTTATATTGTATATTTTGTATGATTTAAAGAAACCCAAATTAGTCACACACTCTCATAACCTAATTCACCCCCTCTAGGTTGAATTTGGACCAACAACACAATCCAACATTAAAACAGCAACGTCAGCATCAACTAACAACCATGGAGGGCAGCACAAACAGAAAGTAATCATCACCAAAGATCAGCTCCCAAAAACAACCAACAAGCTCAAACGAGCAACAACATAACAGACCCATAGCAACATGAACAAACCAACAAGCTCAAAGGTTAAACAAGACCCAATTGTAGCCTCAAGACAAAGAGTTCTTGAAGCCAGTAGAAAGTGGAGTGGAGAAAAATAATACAGCAGCAACCAGCATAAAAAATACAACAGGCCAAGCACAACAAGGCCATCCCAACTCCAAGCAGCAAACAAGTCCCTCACAAAAAGCAGGAGATGGTAGATCTTCTGATTATGGGCAGAAGATTCACCATCCACCTATCAAAACAAAAAAGGCTTCAGACATACTTCTAGCAGTAGCAACGTGGAACATCAACAAGGGAAGAAAACCAAGAAGAAATACCCTCAACACGAGAATCCAAACAACATTAGCAAGAAGCCACATGCAGTCAAGACGGCAACAAGTAGCTCTTGGATAATCAACAAGCATCTCCTGAAGATTATCAAGGTCCTCAAGGTGGATTAAAAATATTTTCAGGGAGAGTCCATTGTCTTTGGATTCATAAATTGAGAGGTGTTTTCCCATAACCCATACAGAAGAAAAGTTTATGTCTAATGCATTCCACACTTTCTCTGTAAATAGTTGCCACATCCTTATAAGAGTTCTTGAATGTTCTTCTATTTCTTTCAATCTACAAATTGTAAACAACAAACAGATAATGTTAGTCTTGCTATAAGTTTCAATAAGCCCTTACCTTTCATACTTTTCACAAATAATCAGCTACCACTTACCATTAGGCCATTGCACATTGCATTTTCTTTGAAGTGTGGATCTCTGCTTGTGAAAGTGGCTGTAGGTGATGGCGCATTCTGCTTCTTGTCTGGAGAGGGGCGCTGGAATCCTTTCTATTGGGTCGTGCGTGTCAGCTGGTATAGTTGAACAAAAGTGGTTGCTAGAACGAGACCTGTTCTCTTAGTAGGTAGCAAAGCGGAATAGGAAAAGGGCCGAGTTGGCTGTCAAACTATATGCTGTGTATTATAAACATTTTTGACATAAGGCGATAAAATGATATTTTGAGCGGTTACATATGGGCATGACTCTCCACAACTTCCTTGCAAAAAACACATGGATATCTTTGGATAACACCATAGTTCATCAGCATATCCTGTATTGATAGTCTTTCTTTCATAGACAACCATAATACAAAACTGTATCTGGGAATAGCTCCAGGAAACCAAAAAATTTTGTGCTAATTTTGTAATTTTCCTTAAGTTCTGAAAGTCTCCCATACAGAGCTTGTATTGAAGAGAAAGTTAGAAGCCAGTGACCACTGGATCATATCCCCACATCCAGGTTCAAGTCTCCAAGTTAAAGGGATGCTTCTTTAGTCTTCCCTTAATTCCTCATTGCCCACTACAGGCCAAACCCACCTTGTGTTATCCACCACACTAGCTACTTTAGCTTCTCTACCAAGCCCTGAATCATTTATAATTCCTTCCCCCTTAGTTTGATAGATAGGTCCACCTGAAAGCCAAGGATCCAACCATAAAAAAGTATTTGTACCACTACCAATTTTGTATCTAACACGTGGTAAGCATTCATTCCTCAAGCTAAAGATTTTCCTCCAAACCCAAGACAAATTTTGTGGCATCTTAATATTCCAAAAACTCATTCCTTTGAGAAGATACATAGACACTCAGTTAGCCCAAATAATCCTCTTTTGGATTAATGACAATCCATAGCTGCTTGACAATGGCAGCCTTATTCCAAGAATCTATTCCCTTAGTCCCGAGTCCCCTTTCAACTTTATGAAGACAAACAATATCCCATGCCACTTTAGCACCACTAGATTTAAGTTCAGAGCCTGACCAGAATAACCTCCTTAAAATCTGCTCAACTGAATCAATCATTTTTTTTGACAACAAAAAAATTGAAGACCAATATATTTAGATTGAGAACAAGATTGTGTTAATCAACTGATCTAACTCTTGTTATAATTTTCTTAATTAAAGGAAGACAATTAGCAACTTTGAGTTTAGTAGTAATATGAGGAACCCTTAGGTAGTCCATAGGTAAAACCTCTTCACTATATCCCATACAATGAAACATCTCCACCTTATTTCTATCCTCCACCCAAGGAAAAATATCTGGCTCTTATTTGGGTTGGACTTGAGTTAAAAAATTCTTCAAATACGTGAAGAACTTTCTTGACAGTCTTAATAGATTTGCAGGTCCTTTTACAAAACACCATGACATCACCCGCAAAACATAGATGGGATATACCCTCCTTCTTACATCTCCAATGGAATTGAAATTTCTCCAAACAGACAACTGCACTCGTCATCCCATTAAAAGCCTCCATTACCATAATAAAAAGGTAGGGAGAAATAGGGTCGCCTTATCTAAGGCACTTCTCCCTGGAAAGTATCCATTAAGCTTTCCATTGATACTGATAGAATACATAAGAGTAAAAATATATTATTTAACCCATTGCACAACATTTTTGAGGAAAGCCCATCTGAGTCATTATAGCAACAACTAGATCCTATCTCACATTATGTTAGGCCTTTATAAGATCAATCTTCATTACACATCTTGGACTTCCCTTATTGAGGTGGTAGTTTCTGAGTAACTCTTGTGAAAGTAGGATATTATCATATATTCTTCTCCCTTTAACAAATGTAGTTTGTGATTTGCCAATAAGGCAAGGCAAAACACCCTTAATTCTATCTTCATTTGTCTTGGAAATACATTTGTAGATAGTATTGCAACAGGATATAGGCCTATAGTCTAAAAATTTTGTAGGATTGGGAACCTTTGGTATGAGGGAGATAATGGTGGAATTGAGTTCCCTTAGCATTTGCCCACTTGTGAAAAAAAGATAGGATAACATCAGTTACCTCCTCCAATAATGCGATTTCTTGAAGAATCTAGCTGAGTAGCCATTAGGTCCAGGAGATTTACCGTTGTTAAGAGAGAACATATTTCGTTTCATCTTTTCTCTAAAAAATTCTTGGCCAATAAGATTTGTCTGCTCCCTAGTGAGCTTGTTTTCAATGTAATGCTCAATCCAATGCATTTGGACCAAGGGTTCAAGTATGGAGGTACAAAGGAGTTTCTTGAAATAGTGGATAGTTTCATATTTGACCTCATAAATGTTAGTAACTTTGCTTCTGATGATGATGGATTTAAGTTTGGGCCCTCTTCTAAAGCCCAAAACCTCATGTGGGCTCATAAAAAATGACCTAAACACCCAGGATGGGCCATAACCTAACTCCATGGGAAACCCATAATCATTCAGCCCAGGATAGTTGCCAACTTGGTATTAACAAGCTCAACAATAAGTGTCTGCTTGAGAGTTTGGAGCTTGGTACCAAACAGATCTAAGAGGTAACCCCAATTATGCCACGTAGACAAGGGGACAGAGGGACAATACTTGACAACTCTAATAAACGAATGTTCACTGATAATGGAGATACTCCATGCATTCCGTTCTAGGCGTAGTGGGCGCAGAAAACGTTAGGGTGCCAAGTTCAGCTATAAGACAAATGAGAAGGAGACCATAGAATCAGCAAAAAAAAGAATCAGTGCAAAACCCTAATGATAATATGTATGAAAACGACGCCACTGTGTAAGATAAAGAAAAAGAGGATTCAAAAGAGAGAATATATCCGAAGCAACCTAAGAAATACTTTGTAAAAGGCTCCCAACCAATCTTTCTGTAACCACAACCTTCTTCTCCAAGTAATATAGTCCTTAAGGAGCAATAGTTTTTTTTACAGTGGATGTAGCCTTAGTCTTTTGACTGAGGTGAACCACTCATATTCCTGTCTTTGTTCTAATTTAAGCTCTTAATGTACCCTCAGTCATAAGCAACACGGAGCCTTTTTGGGTCTCATCCTATATTGTTCTGTAGTTAGGTAAAAAGATTTTGAGCATCATTAGCTTGGCGGCGTTTATGAGAACAGTTTTCATCGTTTCTTCTAGTTTTCTTCATACATTTTTTGGTTTGATGGTCTCCACTTGAAATATGAGCAAGTCTCACGTGAATCCACAAACCTAGCATGTCGAGAATGACCCTTTGATAGTGGACCCAGCTCCACTCAATGAGTTGGAGACATATCGCCAGACCACAATGCAGCGATGAAGCAGAACCAAGACCTCGTGGCATGGATACATGTGCATCACCCCCTTAACTCCTGCTTTTGCCTCCTGCATTGCCGTTGCCAACTCAAAATGACAATCATCCTTAAGATCGCCAGATCCCGCCGCCTAATGGGGTCACTAACCTCCATGACCACAGTCACTCAGGAGAAAACCACTGTCGAAGACAGTTGGAAGAACAAACAAATGAAAAGGCCCAGAGCCGAGCCAGAGCATTTCCCAAAGAGAACCGTCCTCCTCCTCCTCCACAGCATAATACCATGGACCAATTTTAGGAACAAAGGTTCTGAGAAATCCAACAGGAGCTAGGAAACATGGAGGTGGTGAAATAGAAAACCCCTGTCACCATGGACACCCTAGTCCAATAAACCATGTCTCAATTTGCTATAGAGATCTTGCATTTCCCTTTGCCTTAGAAATTTCAGATGTCATAGATAGAGGCTTTTGATGAGACTAAGGACCCTGTGGAACATCTTAACTTATACAAATATTAGATGGAACTCCATGGGTATCTTGACCTTATTCATTGCCGAGCTTTTGCCATAACCCTTAAGGGATTGACGATAGCCTAGTTTAACAAACTTTAACCATTATCAATTTGTTCTTTTCGACAACTTTCTATACACTTCGTGTCTCATTTCATCGGGGCACGAACTTACCAAAAACTATCCTACCATCTTCTAAGCATCAAATAGGGATCCAATGAGTCTTTCCGAAGCTACTTTCAAAGATTTAATCAGAAGTCCTTGAATGTAGAAAATGTAGATGACAAGTTCGCCTTGACGACCTTCATGTCTGGGCTTGGCCTCTAGTCCAAGGATTTTCTATTTTCAATTGTCAAAAACCCCCGGCCAATAATTACGAAGGTCCTCACTAAGGTTGAGAATTACATAAAAGGAGAGAAGGCTCTCCGCATGAAGGGAGGATTGACAACTTCAATTGAGGGTGACAAGGAAAAAAGAGAACGTATCCCAAGAAAGGAGAAAAGGAGGGATCGATCCCCAAGGAGAGACCGATCCCCGAGGTAGGAAATAGAACCCTCCCCAAAGAGATGGAAAAATTTCAGAGATCGTCTTGGCCCACCGCCTCAAGAGCTTCAACCACGGTATTCACTAGCTCGACTCACCCCCATAAATGCCACCATCTCCCAGGTTCTCCAATGAGAGGCTCGTCAGATGGTTGTCAAGAATGAAGTCTGACTCTCAGAGGCATGATCCCGCCAAGTATTGTGACTTCCACAAGGACATTGGTCATGATACCGACGATTGTATCCTGTTGAAAAAGGAGATAGAATATCTAGCACAACGAGGCCATTTGCAGCATTA